ACATTTAAAACCTTGGTACCATTATTTCTTATTAATTAGTAGATGTAACTTTTTATTTTCCTTTATTTTTTATCTTTTTTATTTTTTAGTCTTCTCCCTACCAACTATGAAATAGAACTACAAACTATGAAATAGAAAGTTATATGAACATGTTGACACGTGAACATGTCCATCCGGTATTTTAGCAAAAACCTAACTTGGTAGACAAAATATATTGTAATACAATTATAATAATTATACCGTTAGAGTATTTTGTGTACCAATACGAGTATAGATTAATGGATAAAGCTCGAAGTAATATAATACTCTACTAAAAATAAAAATAATAATAATAATAAAACCAGTTCTTGACTAATAATTATGCATTTAAAAGGTAGCAACCTCGTTATGATGCCCAAAGCCATCAATTCCTCATCTATGGCGCAACTTCTAATAGTTTCTTATTTAATCAATAACCTATAGCAAATTAATATAATAAAATTGAACTTCATTTATTTATATTATTTTACAAATAAAATTACTAAACAGACTCAACTTCATCCTACTTAACTTTTGGATCTCTTTTTTCTCCTCTTCCATTACACTTCAATTTTAAAAAGGAAAAATATGAAAGACAGAGAGAGAGAGAGAGAAGCAACGCCAAGATGCTGCTGTGAATCGATAACACTATAACATTTCAATTTGTTTCCTCAATTTTCATCATTCATGTTATTATCCCTCGCTTGTACAGCTTATCTCCGCCCTCCACGGGCAAGTAGCTCGACGCGGGCTGTCCTGTGAGGTGATCGACGCTCTCGGATGCTATCACGGCCTCGGGATTACAATACCAAGGTTGAAGATGAGGCAAATAAGTAGCCGAAGTTTTTGGAGAAGGGTGAAGCATTATGGACCCCCAGTCTCTAAGGCCAATTTTTGTCTCCCTCACTCTCCTCCGGATCAGCAAGTTCCCTACATCCTCTTTCCTCATTTCCGATACGCTTCTGAGGATCGAGACACAGAGAAGGAGAGCCAACACGGCGTCCTCCTCCGGCAACAACTCGATCACCAGCAACTTCCAGTTCAGAAGAGCAGTTGCTCTTCCATTTGGGTCCTCATCGGTACACCGAATCATTGTTACAAACCCAGCTCCATCTCCAACTTCCTCTTTGTCCTCCTCAACTCCGCTATTGTTTTGTCGCTCTTTAAATTTTTTCCCTACTTGATATTGCATTCGCCGACCTTTTAGAAGCCTTACCTGAAACATATTGAAATATATTTGAAACCTGAAACCGAACTTTATTCGAACAAGATATGATATGAAATGACCACGTACAGATGATTCTGAAGTTGGATTTGTTAAGGAAAAGCTAAGGGCTGCTTTTGGTGTTGAAGTGTCCCATTGGATCATCAGTTCATCCCCAGTTGAAAAACACCAAGCAGCTTCCCATTCTTCCGGTGGCTGTTTTGGTGTTGCTGTTCCTACCACTTTCTCTGTTCTAGATGCCAATATAGGAATAAATGATCAGAATTTAAGTAATGCAGCTGCTTAAAATTACAAGATTAGAGACTCTGAACCCGATTTCCTCGCTCGTTATCAGACAATCACTCATTCACACCAAGCAAGGGTCTCGGGCAGGTTGTATCAAAGAGACGTAGAAAGCAACAAATTGAGTGTAAGGATCTAATTTTACAAATAGTATGTCTTTTAGAAGAAAAAGATAACCATGTACCGCAACAACCCTGATAACCATTCTGATTTTCTATTGAAATCAAATCTCTCATTCGAAGTTGTATGATCAATAACCTACAATCCATGATAAATTTACTGATATGGAAAAGCAGACCGAGATCCATGGACAGATAATACACCATACCCGGGGATCTGCCGATTGAGCCAGCGATATACGACCAAGAACCTTCTCGAATCTCTATAATTCTGTCCTCCCATTTGACAGGCAAAGGAGTTTCAGCTCCTCTCCTCCAAAACCCCCCTCCAACCCTGCAATTTACATTCAAATTGTTAGGTTACATCTCGCCTTACCGAACTTTGTAACCTTACGCAAAAGAACCTGACAAACAGTTTCCTAGATACTAAACAACAATGAAGTATTGATGAAATTATTACCTCATACGAATGACAAAACACTCTCTACCGCAATGGTCGAGTACAGTTCGAGATAGCCACCGACCTTCTTGGGGTCGGTATTGGTTCATTCTAAGAACAACATCCGAAATCATTGCCCCCGAATCATCCGTCACTTTGTCTGGCACACATTTTAGCAAGTACGGTGCTTGGACTGGTGGAGTTATTGAGGTAACTATCTTGAGTTTCTGATCAAGTTTCCTTTCTAGAGTAAGAGAGGGTGCTCTTAACAAGTCATTCCACTTGAATGTGACAGTTCCTCGAATGCTACTTCCTTTGAAACAGTTGCCACTGGGATGCTGAAGCTCGATTACAACTCCCTTGGTTCCAAATTCACAATAGAGATGCCAAGCTTTGTGCCACAGGTCGTTGTTAAGGCTTGAGATCAGTTGATCAAGCTTAAACTCCCTATGGCATCTTAAAGTGCGTAGGCGAACAAATTCCCGAGAAGCAACTTGTTGCAATGGTTGTTTTTGAGCATTGAGTCCAATAAATACACAAACCTGAATTTGAAGCAATGATGTAAAAGTGGCTAATGCACGTGAAATTTTGATAGCTGTGCTAATAATATCTTAATGACTCGCTCCTATGAATTTTCAAACCTCGAAAGTTCTCGGATAATTCTTGTCTTCATTTCAGTAAATTTCATTTTACTATAGAATTCAGCATTCTACACAAAAAGTACTTCTTTCCAACATGAAAAATACAGAGAATGGAGTCTGTTAACCAACCTCAAGAATGAACCTAGGCGTCATGGACTTGTACTTGGCATTGACATCTGAGTCGGATACTTCCCAGTAAACTAGAGATTTGGAAGTAACAACTCTATCCAATTCCATGATTGTTCCTCCCCCGGCTTTCTCATAAGGTTGACCAAAAGTTCTGTGCCATATCTTCTTGGTTTCTTCTAGTTCCTTCGGCTTCACAGTTTCCCCAAATCTCACCACCTTTGCCAAATCTCCTTCCATCTCCTTTATATCTTCTGCATAAACTGTTGGATAACTCTGGTTTACATATAACAAAAAGAAAATGAAGTTTTCAAAGTAAAACGTCTGAAGTAAAGGTAGAAAACACAGCAATCTATCAAGAGTTTCACTTTCCATTTGCATCTCTAATGATTAGTACAGAACTTCATGTTCATTTACAGTTTCCATTTCATTTCACCTTTATAGTTTATCCTAAAAGTGATATGATCTTATTACAAATTTAACTATTGCAGTGCTAGCTACCTTAATAAACCTAATCATTAAGTAAACAAACAAAATAAAAAGTTGGTATTTGATAAAGAAAAATACACATTGCAATGCATTGTGTTTGCATCCAATCTCAACTAAGAACGAAAATATCTTTTTCGGAAAAATAAAGTGTCCTGCCCAAAGAAAACTTAAAACCCTTTGATCAATGCATTCGTTTCTTTTTTCTTTCTTTTTATTCCCCCTTTTGGTGTTTTGTTTCATTTGTAAGTTGTAACTAAGTAGACAGGAAACAAGCAACAGAAACATATTACTAAACGACGCCTATTAATTAAGAAAAATCCCATAAGCTACGAGATGGAAAATGAGAGAGCATCAACCTGATGGGTAAGCCACATTAGGAAAATATCTGAGGCAGCCACGAAAGAAGAACATTCGTCAGAAAACCTCTGCAACATATACAGAAACCCCCTGTATCTTTGTCTTGCTGCAACAAGGTAGACGATCTCGGACCTAAACGGCTCCGAAAACTTGGAATATAAGTGCCTTTGCCTTTTCACTTCCTCCAAAAGCTCCTGATTTTCAACAGTAATTACATCTCTGAAACTTGAATTTTCTTCATTTTCAAAGGATTGGGTTGGGTACCTCTTAACCCATATCTCTTTGCACCTCATATATGCATATTCCTCATTCTCTTCGTCAAAAATTGATGGCTTTCCAATAAGCTTAGAGAATCTTGTCTCACAGTAATGCCTGTAACCAACCTGAAACAAGTATATTATTACCCTTTGATATGTTTGGCTGCAGAGAGAGTACAAAAAGGATGGAAAAACAACCCAACCAAATTTCTCAAGAAAAAGAAGGCTTGAATCTTGCAAAGCCAAAGCAAAAAAGAAAAAATAACAAGTTTGAACTTTTAAAGAGTTTCTAACAAGTACCTGAAATTTCATTTTAATTTTTTCTGACACTGTTGGAGTTCAGAACCAAACTTGCCAAAATTAACTAAAAGAAAGCACTGGGTCTCAAAGAAAAAAAAACAGAAGTTCAAGTTTAACACCTACCAGATTTGATGTGGGACAGAACAGAACCAATCTAAAGAGTGTTGACTCAATCAATTATCCGTTTAATTGTAGAGAGAGAGAGCGCGCGGGGAGGAAAAGAAAGAAAAAACAAGAACACCAGAACTGAGCATCTAATCTTACTTGGCACTGTGGCAGAGAAAACACAAGGCATTTTCTCAGGAAACAAACAGAAGTTAAGGCTAACCGGATTCAACGTGTGGCAGAACCAAACCCATTCAACATCCAACGGAGGAAGAATCATCGGAGGCGAAGCCCCCACAACCGTGAGATCAGAAATCAACGGCATCCAAAGCTCCTCATATCTACCAAAAACATTTCCCTCTCAGCAATAAAAGCAAAAAAATAACAGTTGATTAGATAGCATAGCATTAATTTGAGTTGAATAAAGGAGTTGCTTATGATTTGACCTTCTGATGGCTTCATTGAGAGTGGGCTCACGGTGGAGCCAGTGGGATTCGGCGGTGGTTCTGAGGAAGCCGAGGTTCCGCCGGGCGGCGGATATGAGGTCGACGCCGATTCGGGCGGTCTCGAGTTCCGACATGTCGCCGAGGCTTCTCGCCGACACGGAGGCGGACGACATGGTTCCGACGGAGGCGAAGAAAATGGTGGGTTTCCATTTCACAGAGAATATTTGGAATTATAATACGAGAATGAACGGGGCAGTTACCAAATGGTGGGCCCATCACACGTGCCTTTATTCTTTTTGCTCTTTTATATCATTCAATTTTGGTTGCAATTTCCAATTGCAACATTTTTGTTAAATTCTTTATTTGATGGTAATATTGAGATCAATTTTAATTTAATTCAACTAGTTAACATCCTTCTCTGCGATTAAAAGATTGTAATTTCGAATTATCGCGTCTATGTATATTCTTTTTATTCTAAGTATTTGTTAGGGACCTCAATATTTACCACTCAAATTTACTAAAGGAGTCTATTTAATTTTAATAAATAAGTGTAAGTTCAAACATCTTTCATTGGATAAGGTACCTATTACCTTTTTCTAGATGAAAGGTTTGATCTCCTACCTCCACATTTGTTACACTAAAAAAATTTAATAATAACCATAAATATAGTATAAAATAAAATATTTGCAATAGAAGAAAAAGGGTAAAATAATTGCACATAGTGACCCTACGACATTTGGTGTGGAAAACACATAAGAGTTAATTCCAATAAGTTCCTAAGGTCGGTTGGTCATAATGGGACTTAAATTCATTACCTCTTAATTTACCATAACTTATTTGGACCAATGAACCACCTATATGGTTAGTTTTAAATACTATTGTGATTCTTGTATTTTCTACTTGGAATCATTTTGATCCATATACTTTCGAAATGTCTATTTTTTTCATATATTTTCGAAGTGTTTGATTATGTCTCAATGCTTTTAAAAAGTTACAATTTTGATTCTTTTATTTTTTTTTATTTATCTCGTTTTTTTTCGATCACAATTTAAACGCGACACCACATTCAATAAATTCTTAAAAATGAAATCATAACTTTGTATTAAATAGTTTTCATTGTATTTAGAACTTGTGTTCAAATTTTCAAACAATTATCAAAATAGTCACTTTTTAAAAGTAGAAGACCAAAATCAAAGTTTCCAAAGTAAAAATTAAAAGTATAAAGACTAAAATAAATGTTTTAAAAATAAATAGACCAAAATAAATCAAAACTGAAAATATAGGTATCTAAATTTTATTATAATTATAATTCATGGACATCAAAGTTAATGGGTGATTATTGATTACTCACTTTCAAAAATAGTTTAAAACTTGTAAAATTGGTTCTTTCCTTCGTTAGGAAATAAAAAAAAAAAATAATAATCATCATCTTTCACATGTTTACCTTGCTTTGGTTGTGAGCAAAAGAAAGTACAAGATGTGGCTTGGATATTTTTGATTGAAAGGATTTGTTACCCTTATATATGATTCCTAAACCAAGATCAAAGCTTCCTCTCAAAAATAAAAATAAAGAAAAAAACTAATTTTATTTACCATGTATCCTTCCCCATTTATATTTCCATGAAACAAACAATAAGACATCATTAATTAATAGTATATGCTTGACATTTTCGCACAAAATTGTCTTGTGGCCTAATAATAAACTAAGGTTTAAGTAAAAGTTGGAGCCGTTAATTGTGTAAACTTTTTTTTTAGTATAATATGTGAGGTGGAATTCGAACTCACATTTTTTATAAATAGTGTCAAAATAATAACATCCTCCTTCTAATTTATTTGATTCCGATTAATTTTCATTTTCATTCCAATGTTTAATTGATTAAATGAAGACGTACTATACATTTATTGGCAATATGTCTGGTTCAAATCCAACTCGACCCTCTAAATTATGGATCCACCGTAAAATAATATCTCATTTGTCCACATACGAGATTCTAGATAATTGCAGCCCAAACCAGGTCCACGTCCAACAAATCTAAGACGAAGGAAGCCACCTTTATTTTCTTAAACTTTAAACTTTATTCTAATTTGGTCTCACACCTTAAAAATGTGACTAATTCTATCATGGTGGGAACGAGTGTTTTGCCATTACTCATTTGTACTGAATAAAGAAGTTGATTAATTTTTCCTCAAAAAAGAAAAAATTGATGAATTTGACACCAAAGGGATATAATAATACTAATAATAGAACAAATGGGAGCTGAAATTGGGTAAATGGAGTTTGTGGAAGACTTGCCTGTGACATTGACAACCAATATATACACTTTAGTGCTAATTACGAATTGCTATTTCGCAAATCATGTTACACTGTTTTTCGACATAATTTTGGCAAAACAAAATTCACTTTTACTCTTTTCTAAAATAATCAAGTATTTACATGGTCATACTCAAAATTATTTTCATCTAAAATATTAATACTTTACAAATAAATACAAGTGTGATGGTCTAAAAACTGGTAAAAGTGATTTTTACTATGTCGAAATCGTACCCTTACTTAGAATTATTTAAAAAAAAAAAGGATGGTTGAATTTGGAGTTCTCGTTATCCTGGTAATAGGAAAAGCACATTGGCCCTCATTTTTTAATTAATTACTTAGCATGTCAAATAATAAGACCAACTTGCATATAGTCTCGTGGTTAGATATTTGAACATTTTCATGACAAATTAATTAGAGTGGGAATTGCCACCTCCTTCCTCCCTAGCCCAATTTCCATGTTACATTATGAATAATAGATTCGAGTATTTACTCATCTTGATAAAATTAAAGAAATTTGAGAAGTCTCCTTAGTTAATATGTTACTCATTTAAAAAATAATAAAAAATAATCAAGACTACGCACTAACCAATATGACTGCTAAAAAAAAGGTATGAGCTTTTCACTGTGGTTTCACTTATAGTAGCATGAATTTAATAGGACATTAATATCTCTTTACCACTAAAATTAAACCAAATAAAAAGGATAACAAGAGTATCCAGAAAGGGATAGACAAGTACTCCTTAATGAATAAACAATATATATATATATAATAAGATATTTATAGTTCTCACTGCCAATATCAATAGACAGATTACAAATAACGTATGATACTTATTTCTTTAAATTTTAACGAGACATCATAATTTAGTAGCCAACAAATTTAAGTAATTAGGCATCACAAAGAATATAATAATTTTCCCCAAGAAAAGATGACCAAACCTAACCCAACGGATATTACCTAATTCATTCATATTTCTAACTCCTCAAATTATCTATCAATCATGTCATGTGTACTGATCCAAATTTCGAGAAATTGAGTGTTGTCATGTATATATACATACATTTTATCCTTTGATATTTATGAAAGGAACTAAAAATAATATAAAAATATAATTTTTAAAAGTTTACCTATTAAATTGACATAATAGTCAAATTATAGTGACTTTAGTTTAGTTTAATAACTAAGAGATGGAGGATCGACCAATCAACCTAGTTGTTTTTTTCAATTTGAATTATACTTGGATCAAAATATAAAAACTTAAAAAACTTTCTATTTTATTATAAAGTAAAGAAAGGGAGAGCCAAAATTGGGTAAGTAAAGATAGTGGAGATGGCCTACATATATGATGTGATTGTGAACACACCCCATTGGTGTCCCAATCCGATCACAGCCAGCTGATGAACTATCACAATCACACATCAAATTGTTCCCCACTATTCACCCACTACCCAATCATTCCTCCAAAAATCAATTATAATGAAAATATGATATGGTTTGTTTTAGTTACTTGAAATTGAGAAATACAGTCAAAATCCCACATCAATCGGATAAAAATAGATCATAGATATATGAGTGAGTGACAATATTTCAATTCCATTGATGCGAGTATTTTGTGTGAAAACAAAAGCAAAACGATAAGGACATATGTCCAAAGTGGACATATCATATCACATCGTGGAAGTGTAGAAGATCTATTGTTCTTAACAGGCGCTACTAGAGTCGTATTCTTGACTTAGCTATATGTCAGTGGAATCCTCTAAATCTGTATTGTTTCAAGATTTTCATTTCAATTTTTAAGTCAATTGCGCATATGTTGTCTAAAAAAAACGCGAAGTACAATATTTGTCTACAATAGCATAATTCATTTTCTTCTCGATGATACGTAGGATGAGCTGTAACTATTACACCTTAACACTTTTAGGCCCTACCAAAATTCTTCTTTGTTGATGGCAGGGGTCCAGTGTTCGTTGGTTGATTTTGGGCTCAAACCGATGCGGTTTATCTCGATTGAAACTCATCGATTTTTGAATGTTATACAACTTCAATCGATCGATTACACCGACTAGTGGATCGATTATTAAAATGAGAGAACTCACTGTGTGAGACAGACAATGAGAGAAAAAGAGGCAAAGGGAAAAAAAAACTACCTTGAACCTGTCTTCTTCTCCTCGAAATAAATTAACACTAAACAACAAAAACAAAGAAGAAAAGAGATAGAGCTGGAGAACAAAAATGAAAAGAAGATGAAGATATATTGGCGATAGAAAGAGAGAGAAGGGAAAAAAAAAGGAAAGGAAAGAAAAGAGAGAGAGAGTAAACAATGAAAATTAAAAGTAAAACATAAATCGTATACCACCTCGAGAAAACCAGCACAGGTAGTTTTGCTGGTGCTAGCTGCGTTTGCAGCACTAAATGCAGTGTGCTGTATGCTATTTTTTTTTAACTAATAATCTAATTAATGTTGGTTGATTCAATTGAAAACTATTTTTTTCAACCAAACCCACCGAACAATCGGTTTTAGATTTTAAAAATTGAAACCGATCCAACTTGTCATCAAACCAACTGACCAACCTCGGTTTCGGTCGGCAAAGTTTTTGTACCACCCGTAGTTTCTAACCAAATTGACTGATCGAGCAACCAGTTTTAGATCTTAAAAATCGATGCCCACTAAACACATCATTCAACTGACGATGTTGGTTCGATTGGTTTTGGTTAGTCGGGATTGGACGGTAGATCACGAGAGAGGTAAAATATAGAAGAATATTATTTTAGTTATATATGCTCTCTTTTTCTAGTTTTAAAGTTAAACCCTAAACATCTGAGCTACAATAATTTAATGGTCAAATCAAAATTTGTTTTAATTTTAATCGAGGGAGCTAATGAAAGGTTTTTATTTATTTCCATAAATTTAAAAGTGTAAAGTTAAAATGACACTCTTAAAATGATAGGAGCATAAATCAAACTAATCTAGAGTGTTTTATATAAAATTTAGTATTTTTCACCTTTGTTTTCTAATTTTAATTAATGAAAAATATAAGAAAATTACAAAAAGCACCTTGTTACTATCACACCCTCAATATTTCAATGTGAGCAATTATTTCTCGAACTTATGAAACTGTTTGAATTAAACCCTATTGTTTATAACTTCACGAATTACAACTTGTAAAATGAGACAACCACTCGTGATTTATGAGAGTTGTTGCGATTAAACCCCACGACCATAAGACCATCTTTGACAATTTCATTTTTGAACTTTTCCTTTTCTAGATTCAGTTAAGATACTATCCAGTTTTCAATAATAAACTTCTTCTTCTTCTTCTTCTTTGTTGAAAATAGAAAGTCAAAATATTAAATGAACAATGAGCTACAAATGAAGATATATCCATCTCAAGAATGCCCAAAAGGCAAGCAGTATAATTAAAGAACCAAGTGGTCGTGGAAGAAGAGATTTGAAGCCCTTTCATTGCTAATGGAAATTAAAGAACCAACGGGTTCATTTTAAATACTTCTCTTCTTTAAACTGTCTTTTACTCTGCTCGAAGTTGGAGAAAGAAAAATATTTAAATACTATTTTGAGTCTGTAATTTTGGTCATTTTAATTTCAAAATCTCCGTAGTAGTTTATGTAATTTCAAGTTTTGTTAATTTTAATCATGTATTTTAAAAATGTTCATTTTAAACCATATACTTTTCAAATGTCACTCCACTCACTTTTAAGATCAAATGAGTCATTCAAGAAGATCAGCTAGTCAAAAGGCGAAACAAACCTTGCAAGAAAAGTCGATCCAAGAAGATCAACACAATTTTAACCTCATTAAATTTGGGACTTAATTAGGAAACATTAAAAAAATTTTAAAATAAAAATCTAATATGCCGTTAGATTATTATTTTATTAATATTTGGATTATGGGCAAATGTGACACTTTGGATGCAACATATTTTACTAATGTGAGGGTCCAACAACACAAATAATTATCTTATGATACATCAATTTGTCACTAAATTTTTCCATGGAATGAGCTATCCAAGTAACAAAAACAATAATACAATGACATATCAAATTATGAAAAGACGTTAACATGAATTAATTAAGTAGTAATTCACATCTATTCGGTTGAATTCGAATATCTCACTACCACTTATTGTATTATTAGAAAAGAAAAAGAAAATTATGAAAGGACTAAAGGAGAATTTATGATACAATGAAGACCAAATTGAGAATTCCCTAAATATGGAGGACCGTTGGGCTATATTTAGCCTTAAAAAGAAAGCCCAAAATTTTCCCTTACTCTCTCTTTCTTCTCAAAATTTCCCCCCAATTTTTCTTCTTCACTCCCTCTCGGCTCGGCTGCCACAGACAGCATTCTCAGTCGAACTCTTCCGCCAAGGTCAGTGTTCAATTTTCTGGATCCGAATGCCATGAATGAATACTAATTTAGTGTATTTCTAGTTGCTCTCTTCTGAATCTGATCTGAATACCATGCCCATGGATAACAATCTAGTGTAGTGTACTCTTCTGAATCCCTAATTTCCTGCGCATGTTGGCGTTTTTTGGAAAATTATACAAACTAAAACAAATTTTAAGGCCTTAAACTTCGATTCTCTTCCAATTTCTGACGCGATTTCTTCCACTTCTCGGCGAACAACTCAGACGGCGGTCGATATCCAGCGTACTCGACGATTTACATCGGCGAACATCTTTTCGTCTAGGTTAGTTTGGCTACTGCTATTTTTTTCTCCTCTCTTTCTGGATTTCTTCATTGATTTATGATGCAATTTCTCTCCTGTGAATGCCTCTGAGAGGTTGGAGGTTGACTTTGTCTTTGCAAGAAATTGCAAAAGAAAATAACATAATGTTCCTTGGATGCACACGCATAAATATATATGATCTCGTTTATTTATTTGAAGCCATTTGAAACATCTGGTTGCTATTGAATCTGCCATTCAACTTGTGTTTCTATGGTTGGTAGCTTAATTAACTGCGAGAAATAAAATAACTTACTTGCCTTGCATATATATCTTTTTCTTCTAATCTTTTTTGCTCCCTTTGGAACATCTTGTTGCTATTGAACGTCTTTTAACTTGCGTTTTTTACTGTTGGCAGATTTTGGCATAAGAATGTGAAAGAACCATTTGCCTTGGATATATATATATATATATATATATATATATATATATATATATATATATATATATATATATATATATTGATCTCTTTTGCTTTATTTGAAGCCTTCTAAAACATCATTTGCCTATTGCATTCATATAGCATATGTCAATGACCAATCATATGTGAAATCTCGTTAATGGTCATTGGTCAATGATTTTAACACCTCCCCAAAGAATAGCTGAACTGCTGAAGAAGGTTTATGTGAAAATGAATTATGAGATATTGTTCGAGATTGTGGTTATAGGGTCCTACAAAGTATGCCCAATATTGACACATTTCAGAAAGCGATGAAATGTCATTTATGTATAATAGAAATGATTGTAAGGGTATATGAATTAATAAATAGTGTGACTTCTTTACTATGTTTCGATGAGTTAATATATCTTATGAGTGAATATATCTTATGATTGTATATTCTGTATTTTTACTGTAGATTATTTCAATGAGTGATTCGAGTAGTAGCAGTCAAGATGAAAGGAGTGTTGTTATTCATACTGAGGTCAAAAAGGTCGCTCGAAGAGGCCCGACCACTATGCATGAGTTGACATGCATAAGAAACTTAGGGAAACGCAAGACAATTGAATATAATGACCAAGGTCAACCAATTGGAGAAAATGCAAAGAAAATGCAAAGCTTCATTGGCGTTTGTGTTAGACAAAAAATTCCAGTGACTTACAACCATTGGAAAGAAGTTCCACAAGAACTTAAAGATAAAATTTTTAATTGTGTAGAGGTAAGAAGTTTAGAACTTTAATAAAGGTAACAAACTTATGAAATTTACTTAATTTATACTGTTTTGTGATTTATGTTACATAGAAGTCGTTCGTGTTGGACTGGAGGTCCAAACATCATATTCTTCAATCTGCATCGAAGAAGTTTCGAACTTTTAAGTCCACGTTAACTCGGACGTACATACTTCCATTCAAGGATGAACCAATTTGCTTGCAGAATCCTCCTGAAAAATATCCACATATTGATCAAGAACAATGGAATTCATTTGTTAATGCAAGACTAAGTGAAGAGTGGGAGGTAACTATATTCTACCAATATATTTTTAAATACCGAAATTGTTTTGGTAATTTAAATTAAATGTCTTATGTTTTACAGACGCTTAGTCGTGCCCATAAAGAAATAAGGGCAAAATGCTTGTATAACCATCACATCTCTCGTAAAGGATATGCAAATCTTGCCCAGGAATTAGTAAGTTATGCTAATTAAATTAAATGTCTTATGATAATTAATGTATTTATGCTAATTAATAATATATACGTTCATATAGGACTTATCGAGTGACCCTTCCAATCGTGCAATTCTATGGAAAGAGGCACGAAAAGGAAAAAATAATGAATACTTCGATGATGCCACTAGAGAATGTGCTGCTAGAATTGTAAGTTTATATATTTTTGTTTAACTAGAATTTAGATGATGTGATACATAGATGGTAATAAATGTTTATAACAGGATGAGTTAGCTGCAATACACAAGGGAGAAGATATTTTAACCGAAGCATTGGGTACGTCTGAACATAGTGGGCGTGTAAGGGGAGTGGGTGAGTTTGTTTCACCATCCTTATATTTTAATGTTGTCAAAGGAAAGTCAAAGACTCAAGAATTGCAACCAAATAAATCCACAACTGAAGGAAGTAATCCTTCAAAGAAAAAGTCGAAAGGAAAAGAGATTGTCAACGTGCACGAAGAAATTTATGTCACAGATGAACAAAAAATGGAGGTAATCAATTTGTTTCAATTTTGGCGCCTATCCATGGGGCATGACACTTAGTTTTTTTCTTTTAAATTTTTGTAGGGAAAACCTTGTCACTTAGCTGTTGAATCGGTGGACAACATTGTTGCTGTAGGCACAATTTTTGATAATAATGTTCAATGTCCAACCGTTCATGGTGTGCCATTAGGAGTCGACAATGTTAGAGTTATGGTAGATATTGTCATAGACGAATATGCTACGATACCAATTCCTGTGAGAGGTGAGATAGAGACTCTAAATCAAACAATTGGTGGCTTCGTGGCATGGCCTCGCAGACTTGTAATTCTGAGTGAGGAGAAAAATGTACGTCTCTTTCCAACTTAAGTGAGTTATTTTTTTATACCTTTATTTTTTGTAATTTCAGTTTGTAATTTTGTTTGTGGTAGATTTCTTCTTCGAGAACATCCCAGACAAGAACACAATTGTCTAAACATACAGATGTCCATGTTTCTATTAAGCTCCTGAATCGATATGTCATGCTCTCAATGCAACATGAGGATACAGTTGAAATCAATTTGAGCAAGGACATATTTGGAAAGGAGAAGAACATTTATTTAACACGTAACGACATCATGCAGTATTGCACAATGATTGAAATAGGTTATTCGTGTATACTCACATACATTGCGTAAGTATATAAAATCTATTACACACATTGATTAAGGAACTATGTTTTATAACAATTTTTATCTTTTTAGGTATCTTTGGGATGTATATGAGTATGAGATAACTAAGAAATTTTTGATAGTTGACCCAGCAACCATTTCACCATATGTGAAGTCTCAAGAATATCGTTTTAGAAATCTAGCCAACAGGTTAGAAATGGTCAACTTGGAACAATTAGTACTCATTCCGTATAAGTCTGGGTAAGTAATGATAATTTAATTAATTAATTATTTATTTATGGTTTGTTTTATTCATAATTGATCATATTAAAATGTTGGTTATTAATAGTTGTCATTGGATGTTGATTATTATCAATCTTCGAGAGAATTGTGTTTATGTATTGGACTCTTTACGCAGAAAGATTCAAGAAGATTATCAAAGAGTCATAAATACGTAAGTGTCTTGAACTCTTATAGTTATAATTTTTACAATTATGTTCTAATGTTTCAAACTATTTAGATCATTGAAAATTTGGCAAGCTAAACACTCTATCCAACGATATCGCACTAATACAATTTGGAAATCTATAAAGGTAAAAATCCGTTTTACTATATTCTATACTTCATCAAATTTGCATTAAAATAATAATACGTATAGCTTATAATTATATTATTTTTCAATTTTTCTACATGTAGTGTCCTTGTCAGATGGGTTCGGTAGAGTGTGGCTACTATGTGCAGAAGTATATACGAGAAATAGTGCAAAACGCTAGTACCCACATAAGTAATATTGTATGTATAATTATTTATTTTTATGTGTTTACATGTATTTATATTTATGTTAATATTATCTTTCTCTTTCTTTGTAGTTTAACACAAAAAATGCATATCAACAGGAAGAAATTGATGAGGTTCGAATAGAATGGGCAGATTTTGTTGGAGGATTAGTGTAGGTTTATTATAGATCTGTTAATTTTGTTTGTTTGATATAAATACTTGGTTTACTTTTTGTGAGTAGAATGGAAGTATTTTTTTTTATAAATATATAGAAGTGTTACCTGTACATATATATAGAAGTGTTGGATGCTGCTTAATGTAGTTTGTGGAGGGATGGCGGTCTCCATTGGAACATGTTCAGTTTAGCTTATGGAGAGTTGAGTAGTCTCATTATTTGTTGTGTATGCATGTATAAAGAAGGTTGAGAAGGTTGTTGTTTATAAGTACAAGCATTCTTTTGAAACTTGTTCTAATGTCGTAGGATGTAGTTTGTGGAGGGATTTATATATGTATTATGTGTATGTATATAGAAGGATGTTATATGTTATTGCATTTCATGTTAGTTTTAGGTTATTCTAGTAGAGTTTATGCCAAAATTTTAACTTTTTTTTTTTTTTGATATACTTTTGGTGAATGAGTATTGAATTCTTGTAGGGAATTACTTATATTGGTATCTTTAGCTTTACCTTAGAAAGGGATGAATAGTCTCATTTATTTTGGTAAGTTACATTACTTTCTCCGTTATAAGTTCATGAACTATGGTATTATAATTGCAATTTAGGTTAGTTTTCTAGTGGTTGTGGTGTCCTGAAAGTTGTCTTAATGTGTCCGTCCAAGTTGAGTTATAGGCTATGAAAGAAGTTTTTTCTTTTAAGATAGTCCATATGTCACTTGAGTTGGAAGTTACATTTTTGACATATACGAGTGGTAATGTGGATAAGAAGGTGAAATTGACACTAATATACCCCATTGAGTTTGCTTTGTTGGGATACGAGAAGAAAATTAAGATCTGACACTAAGGGACGTTTGTGGTCTAGGTTTGGCATTTGTAGCTTGAGAATGTTAAACTTGGGGGTAGATTTGGGAGTGTTGCAACCTGGGATTGGAAAACCTATGTTTGGAGTACAAGAATGTGTAGCTTGGAACCATCATGGTCTAGTGGTCAACAAGGGCTATGTAAATAGCAAAGGTCTTAGAGGGAATGAGTTCAAATTATGGTGACCGCTATCTAGTATTTAATATTCTATGAGTTAGCTTGTCAACCAATGTAGTAGGGTTAGGCGGTTGGTCTGTGATTAGTATTTACCTTTTTTACAATATTACGTAACTCAAGTTGTTTTATTTCTTTATTCATAGATTGTTGTGCATCTTAGAACCTAAATTTAATTAAACTGTTCACAATAAATTGAAACAAAATTTCACATTGCATATAACAAAATTTTTAATTACAAAATGTTTTGATTTGAATTAATTTAAAACAAAATACATTATCTAGATCATTTTAATATGACTACGTTAATAAAGAATACTATACACATACTTTTCTTACTTTGCATATGATAAATTTGAAAATCAAATAATTTGTCATTTTTAATATTTAATCTATGCGCAGAATCATTTACGTAAATTTTCACATTATATGTAATATAAAGAGGATATATAACGAAAGTAAACATAAAAATTTAATTATTAAGTTCAATAACAAATTGTACTAAAAGTATTGGTCTTGAAAAGAAAAAAAAATAGTAACATAAAACGTAATTAAAATAATAAAAAAAACTATATGATCATTTAGGAAAATTTTTTGTTGCTTGTGTGGGAAATTGGGAGAGAATGTGAAAGGAAGAAGATACTTGGCACTTGGAGATTGGCTAAAAATCGAAACGTGAGTTAGATTGATTCCTCCCAGTCACTATTTGAAATACTTGATATCATATTTTGAGTCTAGGTTTTAATTATCGATATAGCTCCAGTTTTTAGATCTACAATAATTTATCTTGATATCAGATTATTTATTTATTTATTATTATTATTATTATTATTTTTTATACAGGAACCAAAGTTTTAGACCATTGAGTAACCGTAGTAAATAATAAGTATAGAAAAATAGAAAAATAGAGACTGAAAAAAAATTGCTGTTTTTAATAAGTTATATCATAATTAACAATATAATTGGATTGTTTCGAGTAATCAAAATGTAATATATTGTTTTTTTAATGTAATATATTAACCTATTAACCTACCACATAAAGTAACTTAGAAAAATCGAATCTTTAGATTTTTTTACGAATTTTTATTTTATTTTTTTAGTATAATATGTGGGGTGGGGATCGAATTTACAACCTTTAGTTGGAGATATATGTCAATTATCACTAAATTATGCTCGCTTCGACTTTTTTACGAAGTTATTATCAAGTTAATCTATTTTATAATAATGAGTGTTTATCCAAGTGATCGATCTTAATTATAAAAAAAAAAGAGAAAAAAATTAAGGCAATTGATGAAGAAAAGAGTTAGAGGGTTTGAAACTTGTAATAGTTATTGAAATAAAGAAACTTGAGGACTTTCTTTTTACTCTCTTAATTTTCTAGAGAGATAAAAGGTTGTTCTTCTTGAAATTAATTTGAGTTTGTCTTTGTATAATTGAATGAGTAAAAAAAAGGGAAAAGGGAAATTATTTTTTACCCTTAAAATTTTGCAAGGTCTCAAATTAATTTGTCTAAATTAAGATTCAATTTGATGAAATTAAAAATTTATAAATTAATTTGCTTTGGGCTCTTACATAATGGATTTGGAATTATTTCACTTTGGACCTAAACTTCTACCATAAGACACGAGGCTAGTGGCATGAATTTGCAAGAATTAAAGTTCGAAATGTCAATGTTGATAAAAATGTCGAGATCTGAATTTTATCGAAATTTTGATGTCGATGGAAATTTCAAGAAAAATCATGTAAGTTATGAAAGGATGAAAATTATTTGAATTAGTAAATAAGACTTTAATTAGGTTATAGTGAATCATTTTTAACCATCATATCTAATAACACATGTAATATACTTGTGGAAATGTTGACGTCAGTAGAAATATTAGAAGAAGATCATAAAAATTGATAGAATACTATTTAACTTAATTATGTTTTATTAATGATTTCTAAGCATCATATTCTAAAAAAATTTCAATCCTTTATTCAACCACAAAATTGAAAAAAAAAAAAAAGAAACTCATTTGATTCTCCAGTAAATCAGTTAAAATTGGTTAGAATAAATCATTGTGTTGACTTTAATTATTGAAGTTAACTATGAGCATTACTAAAGTATAAACAACATTTTAATAAAAATATTAATGTGAATGAAAATTTCAAAAATAAGAATCATGAAAAACATAGAAATCGGTTAAATTGTTTCAACTAGTAAAGAGACTTTAATTATAATTTAATTAGAATATGATTCACCATCTATAATATCATATTTCAAGATATATGAAATATTTGTTACATAATTGAAAATATATTAAATATGAATGGAAGGTTAAAAAAAAAAAAACTATTGATTATAAATACAAGCATACCTCAAATAGAGAACACATCCAATATCATCCCAAATATTGATAATAAGTGGAGATGGAAAAGCTAGTGGAATGGGAAATATTAATTTGGTCATTGAAGTTTCAATTTTGGTTTATTTTGGTTCTTATATCTTCGAAAGATTCATTTTGGTTCCGTACTTTCAATTTTAGTTCATTTTAATTCATGTACTTTTAAAATGTTTATTTTGGTTTTCTGTACTTTCAAAAAGTGATTTTGGTCCYTTATTTTATTAATCTCATTTTTTTATCACAATTTCAACCCAACAGTAAAATCAATATATTACTTCAAATGTAAACATTACTTTATACTTATAAAATTTGTATTAAAATTTTGTAAAAAGGGACTAAAATGATCACTTAAAAAAAACAGGAACCAAAATAAATATTTTCTAAGTGCATGGACTAAAATAAACTATTAAAGTTTAAAATACATGAACCAAAATGAATACTTTTAAAATATGGAGACCGAAATGAACAGAGAGTAAAAGTACGGGTTCCAAAATATTGTTTTAACATACAATTTAATTAGAATATAATTTACCATCTATAATATCATATTTAAAGATATATGAATTATTTGTAACATAATTAAAAAATATATGAAATATGATAGAAAGTTGGTAATAAGTGGTACTAAAAAAATATATAAATATATACAAGTGGAGGTGGGGATTTTTCAAAAAAAAAAAAAAAGAAAGAAAGAAAGTGGAGGTGGGAAAAGCGAGTAAAATGGGAAATTGAGAAGTGAGCGCGTGAGAGAGAGAGAGAGAGAGAGAGAGAGAGAGAGAGAGAGAATGATCGGATCGGAACAGTTAGAGAGAAACGTGGAGCGGTGTGTGCAGTGAAAAATGGCTGCTATCGTGTCTCTCAGTGGAAGGCCTTCCTCTGGGCTCTGCAAAATCAATGGCATTTCCGTCATTCCTCCGTTTAGGGTTTAATGGCGGCTCTGGCTGCGGCTCCCCCTAGGGTTTTTCCATTTTATCCCTATCCTCTCTCCTCTCTCTCTCACCGCTTTCGATCGGTTTCCATATATTTACTCTCTTTCACTCATGATTCTGCTTTCTCTGGTTTCAATTTCAATTTCCTGAATAAAGCTGAAATGGGCATGATGGATGTGTTGAGACGAAAGAATAAGGTGGTGGGTTTTACACCCTTTTGTTGTTCTGTTCTCTTTTCCAACGCAGAAATTTGCTGCGAAATTATCTGTTAATGTTTTCTAATCACTCGGCTCTCGGCTCTTATATTTCAGGAACGTGTAGAGGATGATACCAAGAAATACTGTGTTGATTGTAAGACTACCAAGACCCCTTTATGGCGTGGAGGCCCCGCTGGACCTAAGGTTCTAACTCCACTCTCTTTATTTTCATGTTTCTTTGTTTCCAATCTTCATTTATTGCGTCTCTTTTCCATTTCGTGGATTGTTCTGTTTTACTGCTTTTGTTTGATTTTCAGCTTCTGAGTTGGATTTGTGTTCTATTTTTCTATTTGGATACTGGGTTTCTCTTCGAAGTTCTTTTGTTTTTTGATCTTGAGCTTCCGTTATGGATTTGTGTTCTGGTTTTGGTTCTTCTCTGTTTATGAAGCTCTTCTAACATTCTTTGTTTTATCTTGAACTTCTGGGTTGGATTTGTGCTCTGTTTTTGGTTTCCCTACAAACTGGTTTCTAAGTTGATCGTCCATTTTCTCTCCTGTCTTCTTATATTATATATATATATTTTTATTGATTTTAAGATTCTGTGTTGGATTCATGATGATCTGTGATTGGTTCTAACTTCTAATTTTATGTTTCAAACTTGGTTTCTTCTCTGTTCATGAAGCTGATCGTTCATTTTTTCTTGACTGTCTTCCAACATTCTTTGTTTGACAACGCTTCTGAGTTGGATTCATGATATTTTTTGTTCTATTTTTCCCTTGAAACTGGTTTTCTCCTTTGTTCATGCCCATTTCTTTTTGAAACTGGGAATCTTCTTAATTATTTGTTTCTTTAATCAATATGTCTTTGCTGTTCCTGGAATTTTCATCTTGGTTTTAGATTTTGATCACATGAAAAGTTAAAAAACAGCTCTTCCCCATTGTGGGGGGTTTTTGCAGTCACTGTGTAACGCATGTGGGATCAGGTTTAGAAAGAGAAGAGTCTCCACCATTGGAACCAACAGAGGGTGTGACAGAAAGAGAGAAAAGGCTCATAGCCATGGCGGCTCCACCACTGCCGCCATGTCAGCCACCACTTCCTCTAGTGCCACCGCTGCCGATGCAAAATCCAACAACGGTGGCGCAGATGGGGAGGAGGAAGAAGAGGATTTAGGGGAATGTGGGTCATTGAGGATGAGGCTGATGATGGCGTTGGGGGAGGAGGTGGTGGTGCAGCAGAATATTTCGAAACAGCGGCCCCCGAGGAAGCTCGGGGAGGAGGAGCAGGCAGCGGTGTCGTTAATGGCACTGTCCTGTGGCTCTGTGTTTGCCTGAACCAGAAGTAGGAAGAAGAAGAAGGAGGTACAGAAGCAGTAGTAGTATTTAGTATTTTACACATCAAAGTTCTAACCAATACCAATTACCAACCAAAGAATCACCATCACCTCCTTTTCTGCATATTTTGTCACTTTTTTTTTTTTTTTAACCTCTAAATTAATGAAATGGAAGAGACCCAGAATAGTAGGAATTGGGTTTCTTCCAAAAATGGTAGTGTTAGGGAAATCAAAAAGAAAGGAGATTTAGGGAGATTCAAAATGATGGTTTTGTGCAGTTGTTGTAGGGCTGTAGTTATTTTTCTTTTCTTTAATTCATGTGTTCATATGCCACCAAAATGACACAAATCTACATAAGCCTGTTCTCTCACTCTCTTCCCCAAAGAAAAGAAAATTACTATGGTTATAACCCAATTTGGGTTTAAATTTTAACCATCTTTTATACGCTGGAGACTTAAATTGTTATAAGTATGACATATCCTTCTTCCACCCACTAATTTCAGTCTTGAATCTCAGTCTCGTCCCTAAAATTTTGGTACCCTCCCTTGGTTTGCCGTGTCCCTAATAGGAATGTTTTAATTTGGTATTTATAGCTTAGTCAAACTTTATAATTCATTTCTGTCGTCTTATATTATCCAAAAAATTTTGCATGACAAGGGTTGATTTTTCTATTATTTGGTTTAGTTGATTGTATTATGGAGGTGTTTAGTGTTAAGTTAAAAAATAGACAGTTTACGAGAAGGTAAAACAAAAAATTTAGAGTTGAAGGTGAGGTCTAATCGAGAATCACATGGAAGATTTTCATTCTCTTTGAGGTGCCACTAAAATGGAATCAATTGGTGGGACGAATCTCAAATTTGAGAATGATGCTCCCCGTGAAGTAGTCTTATTTCTCTCCTATAACTTCATCAATCTCATCGCTCCTTATTTGGTGGACTCCACACGTTTTTAACAATTACTTTACAACTTTTTTTTCCCTCTCATTTGTCAAGTAATCCATAACTTTATAATTAATTATTTTACAATTTTATTCTTTCTTACTTTATTTTTATTTCTAATAAAAACTGTGCAACTTTTATTAGTTGAAGTAATCTTATAATCAAATATTATAAATTTCATTTTAAACCCTATACTAAAAAATATATATAATTATAAATTTCATTTTAAACCCTATACTAAAAAATATATGTATATCTAAAAGTAATTTCATATATATAAATATAAACTGTAGTAACTGTTCTATGTGTTTGGTTTTAGCCTTCTTTCAAAATACAACATCAACCATATTAACTCTTGTTTTCATGTTCTAGCATCAACATCAACAAGCTATAAAATCTACATGACTTGATATCAATTTACCAAATATTATAACTCTTCTTATCAAACACTATAAGAACTTGTTTTCTAACACTACTGACGGTAACTATAGTACAAGTATAGTAACTATTTCCATTGCCACAAACTGAGTTGCGAAGTTAACTCATAATCTTCCAACTTACTATCTCTTTATGGAGTGGGGATGAAAACTTAAGGACTCAATTTGAAAAACATATGAACGTTTCTTAATTCCAACAACTTGATCCAATATCTCTATCCTCCTAGTTTTCGTATCATACAAGATAAAATCAATTCCATCAAAAAGACATAAGATATTCCCATCCTCAAAGACTTTGATGAGTTGAAGGTCAAGATAATCCAACAAATTTTATGGTAGGACAATAACAAATGCTACAATCCATGAATCTTCTTCCATTTTCCACACATGAAACTCACGATGTTGGAGATTGTAACGAGGGAGAGAGAGAGATAGAGGATGTCTACTAGAGTAGTAAGTTCTTGTACCCAACTTTACGAATAGAATTTTCCTGGAATTTCTCATCTTCCACATCCAAACAGAATAAGAAATCTCTACTACAGTAGTAAGTTTTTGTACTGGTATTGAGTTTCTTGCTATTTTGTACAGTTTTATCTTGGGACTAAAACCAAATACATAAGAGCAGCATCCTCCTCTACTCCTATCGAATTTGGAAGTTTCATGTTCTCATTTGTCATGGAATTTAATACGTCAAAACAAGTTCCTGCATTGTGGAAAAGAGAAGTCCATCGTAGAAACCGACAAATTCGGTAGCAGGGTTACTAGGATGGAAACTTATTAAATCTTAAATTTTTTCTTACAATATAGACTAAATCGTTACAAACTTTAAACTACATCGATTAAATTATTATATATTAAAGTTTAAGGACTAGATTATTACTAATTTAATGATAAAGAGCCTAAATTATTAGAAACTAAAGCTGGGACTAAAAATTGATTGAAAAGTATTTATTTGCCTTCAATATTTTGATAACAAAAGTTAAAAATGATAAATAATTTAGGATAAAATTGTATATTTATAGTTAAAATTTCTTATAATTATTTAAAATTAGAAAAAACAAATTACACGATCCGTAAGTTTAGCCGTGTCTGATTTTAAAAAGAAAAAATAATAATAATTAGGAAAGAAAGAAACGACGAACTAAAAATCCAAGAAGCAGTTTTTTCGGACATCCATGTCTCCGGAATTCACTTCTCCTTCTTCTTCCTCGCGATTTACAGCCTCTCTTTATCTCTTTAACTTACTTTCTTCTGTTGGGTTTTCAAATGCGGCTTAATCCTTCCTCGGATTTGCTTTGAGGCAAGTTTCTCTCTCTTTGCTTTGCAAGTTTCCTGTTTCTGCATTGAGAAAATGGTTGACAATTCGAAAAGGGGAAGTTGTATTCTTTTGAAATTTGGATGTAAATAGTTGGATGTTGGTCTGTTAGAAGAGTGGATCGTCCAACAATTTAGGGGTCCATTATACCGTATCCCCTTTTCCCAATCTCATGCAGTAGTGCTTTATTTGGAAATTTTGAGTGCGATGCGATCAATAAGTTCTCATTGTTTGATTTCATATTTCTTTGGTTTTTAGTAATTAATGATGGGATATTTCTCTTTATGGAATTTTGGGGAAGGGCTGGAGGATCGAGATGGGGTGGGAGTTGGAAATATTCTTGGCTTAATAGGATTGTATTTAAAGTGTTTGTTAAAATGCCTGAATGAGCTCGTGAAAGATGAATCCTAATTTTTGTCTTTGACATGATTGTGTTTGTTCATTTGTACATTTGGGGCTTTATCGTTATTGTTTATTCGTTCTTCTGGTGATTCTGTTTGATAATCAATGTGGAGAAGTTGAAGTTGATCTCCTTCTTTTTTTAATTTTCTTGTTTTGATATGGTCTTTTACATTGTTCCTCGCCCATATCCTTCAGGTTGAAGACTATTGCATCCGATGCCGAATTTGTTTTGGGTTTTCTGTCTAGTTTTCCTCTAGTTGTGATTTCAAATGATAACAGTTCCAATGTGCTTTTCGATCTTGAGAGTTCCGAAATTTGGAGTCCACACATTAGCTAATTTTTGGAGGACAAACTTCCATCCCCTGAACAGGAATTATGGTCATAGTTCTTGGTATGATCAGCTTTGTTTTAGAATCTATAACCTTGAAGGAGGGCAAAATAAGAGATGGACCAGAAAATCGATAACCACGAAAGCAGGGAGGAAAGTGAAGAACAACCCCAGCAGTAAACCAAGTGATATCAGAAATGAAATTTTAGAGGGATCGGTTTCAACAAGCTGTACAGTTAGCATTAATAAGACTGAGAAAAGTGAAACCCAGAAACTTCAGTATTGTGATATTCAGCAAACATTTACTAAGAAAAAGGAGTTGACTAGGCCGGTGACAGTTATAGCCTTTGACATTGAAACAACAGGTTTTAGTAGAAAAAAGGATAGGATAGTGGAAATAGCCTTTCAAGATCTTTCAGGAGGAGAAAATAGCACCTTCCAAACATTAATAAATCCAGAGTGCTATATTCCAAATTCTCTTGTACATGGCATTACAAGCCGTATGGTCAGCAGACCCGATGTTCCAAGGTATCAAAAAATGCTTATTGTTATAGTCTCATTCCCCTACTGTTTTACTATCCAGTTCAGTGCTAGTTGAGACAGATCTTTAACCATATATAATTTGAATATTTGATAATGTTTGCTAGGTCCATCCATTCAATTTTTTTTTAAGTAATTAGCATTAATTATATGTAACGTGAAATTTGCAGAGTTGACAATCATATCTAAACGTTTCTTTTCTATGTTCATTTAGGATGAAGGATCTTATACCAATTTTATTACAATTTGTTTTAAGCCGTCAGAAACCTGATGGTTATATATTATTGGTAGCTCATAATGCTCGTACCTTCGACGTGCCCTTTCTGCTCAATGAATTCAGCCGCTGCTCCTTCGACATTCCTCAAGATTGGCTATTTCTTGATAATATGATTTTAGCCCGTCAACTGATGATATCCTCAGGTTAGTTTTCCCTTTGCACATATTTTCTTGCTCTGGCTTTTCTGTAGATAAAAAGATTGATGTGATATAGTGTAATATGGATGGTAATGTCGTGATCAGATTCAAAGCTTTCAAAAATTTCGTTACAAGCTCTTCGCGAGTATTACAGTATTCCGCTGGTGGGTTCAGCTCACAGAGCAATGTCGGATGTGATGTCGTTGTCGCTGATTCTTCAGAGGCTTACTTTCGACCTCAAGCTGGAAATCCCCGATCTCATTGAAAGATCTTTCACTGCTTCAGACCTGATTAAGAAGAACAAGGACTAGTTTTTAAGTTATATGCATAGATCAATCTTAACTTAGTGATCAAGCTGTGGTCCTGTTGTAATGTTATTTATTAATTGTATTGTAACTTTTGTTCATTCTTATCAGCAAAATATTGGGCCATTTTATTTGTGCCAATCAGATTTGTCTTGATATCCATATTCTCCAAAAAAAAAAAAAACTAGTGCTGAATTGGATTATCATGACAGAAAATCTTTTGTTTTCTTGTTTTGAATGGATACTTGATGAAACGAGAATTGACAGAGTTTATGAAGAAAGATGAAAAGGGGATCTGCGTTCTGTTCTGATGTTGAAATGGCTGAACTGAACTACTTTTGAGGCGTTTGTGGCAAGGAAGGAATTATATGGAAATGTTTGTAAACAGTAAATATACATAAAGATTCAATATTTCGACCCTTAATTTTTAGATTTCTAATACATCTACATATTTCTTAGAGGTGAAAGTGAGCAGGTTGGATCAATTTTTGGCTAAAATAGGTGCAGATTCAACTAATCATATGATAAACACCAACGAAAATTGACTGGGATTGGTCTTCGAACTTTTTGAGAATTCAATTTTTTGTTTATTGTTTTTTTTAAATCGTTTATGAAATTCTAAGTAAATTTCAAAAATAAAAAAATAAAATAGTTTTTTTATAACATGTTTTTTTTTTTTAAATGCTGAACTTTTTCTTTCTCAAATATTTATCTGTAAAGTTCTTTCTCACTAAAATTTTTTTTTCCTACATAAATCTCTCCCTTTAAAATCTTTATGTTGAAAATATTCACTATCATTTATCCCTCCAAAATGTTCATCTTTATATATCTTAATTTATTTCTTACTTAATATATCACTCTCATTTTTATCTTTTTAAAATTTCGCTTTTTATATTTTTTTCTCTTTCTAATCTATCTTTTATCTAGTAAATATATCTCCAATTTTCTATATATTTTTTTTTCTTTCAATTTTTTTTACTGTAACTTCTTTTGATTTATTTATGTTTCTCCAACAAATGTATCTCAAATTTTTTTACTATAATTTTTATTTCATTTTCCAATTGTATCTGTTTCTGTGACATATCTGTTGCTCCCAACTTTACTTCCTTCCTCCAAAATTTTTTTCTTTTAACTGTTATCTTATTAAATTTTTTTCTCTAACTTTTCTTTTTATTTATCTCTCTAAATTTCCTCTCTCTTAAATTTCTCTTTAAGTTTATTCTTATCTCTCTAAACTTTTATTTTTCGTGTCTCTACTTTAGAGATGTCAAAATAAAATAAGAGAAAAAATGAATAAAATAAAATAAGAGAAATAATGAATAAAATAGAATAAGAGAAATAATGAATAAAACAAGAAAGGGAAGAAATATAATATCTCTCTAAACTTTTATTTTTCATGTCTCTACTTTAGAGATGACAAAATAAAATGAATAAAATAGAATAAGAGAAATAATGAATAAAACAAGAAGGGAAGAAATATAAAATTTTGCTTTCATTGAGAGTCGAACTCAAGACCTCCCGCTTACTAAACGGGTGCTCTAACCAACTGAGCTATGAAAGCTATTGCTATAATAGTTGCATTTTTTTAATTGATTTAAAAATAGTCTTTATTATAATAAATATTATTTTTGAGGTCGTTTATTTCTCTTCTTTATTCATTCATTCTCATCTACTCCATCCCTCGTACAAATAAGAAAAATAAATTTTTGGTTTCTAAAGTTTGGAATAGATATCTATTTAGTCTATGAAATTTTAAAATGGAGATTTTTGGTCTTTGATGTTTAAATCAGGTGTCTATTTAGTCTCTAAAATTTTAAAATAAACACTTTTAATCTTGAATTTAAATGGTTATTACCTATTGGACTATTTGATTGACTAATATGAAAATGAGGTGGCATTAAATTACTAATTGTGTTTTACTCATTGGCAAAATAGATTAATTTAATTTTTCTTTAATTAATGGACGTGTCTCTTTCTTCTTCAAATTATGTCATTCATTTGTTTTCTTCTTCCTCCCCTGGAAAGCTCACCACTAATCGTCGTCCACCATCTCAATCCTCGTCACCTGTCGCTGCTATTGCTGGTCACTGAAGTGTTGTCAAATCAACACTTCAAGGACCAAATAAACGCTTTAACATCATGACCAAAAGTGTCTATTTTGAAATTTCAAAGACTAAATAGAGTATTTTAAACCAAAAGTGTACTTTTCCATAAAAAAATATATAAATGATTTTGCTGTTAACTTATAGTACTACTAGTTAGTGTGTAAATTCGAGTGTATTTAAATAGATAAAGCGCATAAATTATCTTTTTTGAGGTCAAAAGTTTAGAGCATATTTGGTAACGTTCATGTGTTTCTTCTTTTTTGTTTCCAATTTTGTAAAGAACTTAAATCATTTGCCAACTATTATTTTTTTGTTTCATATTCTTCTATAAACATCTCAAAATTGAGAGAGAAGAGACACCGGTGTGGTATCAACCAACCACACTTCGATGCAAGGTTTCAGAGAGGGGCTGCTATTGCTTGAAGGAGGTTGAAGACATGATTGGGTTGTGGAAACCGACTTGTTCTAATTAAAGGCCATAGGGAATTTGGGGACGCTAGTCCGCCCTATGCTAATTAAATTTATGGTACCGTCGATCCTCGTAGGCCTAAGCTTACGTAATAATCTACAGGTTGGGGTGCGAGAGATCGAACCTCCTCCCTCGCCTTTCCCTTGGCAAGCTTGACCCCGACTGTTGAGTTGTTAGTGTGTATGTCACAGGCATTGTCAAGCAGAGTGACGACAAGTAGCTAGGTCGGGTATAGATGGGTGCCACCCTTTGGTCGAGCCTCACACCTCAATGTCAAATTGCAAATTTGGTCCATGAATTTTGAAAGTTACATCTAACGGTGTCAAATAGGTCCCTCAACTTATAATGTTATGTCTAATGAGATCATAAACTTTTAAAACGTATTATAAGTATCTGAACTTAATTTTGTGTTCACTAAGTTATTGAACTTTAATATGTGTCTCAGATGATAGAGATTTATTGATCAAACGTTTATGTACTTATTGAAATATAAAATTAAAATTTCATAAACTTATGAGATATTTGTAAATTTATTAGCACATAACCCTACAAATTTAAGGTAGAAAAGAAAAAAGAGACCAAACATGATAGAAGAGAATTAAAAATAATGTGTGCTCATTTAAATGTACTAATTCGAGAATAATCTCAGAAAAGGCGTCACAAAGAATAAATTCTAAAATTGTTTCAAGATCTTTCAATCATAAATTTTTTTTTGAATGTGAGCTTTTATTCTTATATTGCCATTTATTCGTATATATCATATAAACTTTGAACTATTACTCTTCAAAAATATATAATTCATAGTCATACATAATAAATTTAAAATTTCAGAGACCCAAACTCTAAAAGCATTAAAATGTCAAAGGGTGCATTCATTTATTCAGGATCTTAAAATATAAATTAAAAAACGGATGATTCAATAAAAAGTAGGGTTGTATTTAATATTTTCGGTATTTGTGTTTAGCAGCAAATTTAAAAATCTAATATTAATTAAAAAATTATTCTTCAGTAATATATTTACAAACAATAAGAAATAATAAATCAGTTTACACATTTGGTCATTAAGTTTTATAACGATTTAATCCCAAAACTTAAAAAAGTAACGATTTAATCATTATTTTAAAATATAGTTAACTGTGTAGGTTAATTCAAGAGTCTTAGTTCAAACTTGTATAAACTTAAGATTAAAAGAATGAATAATTTAAAAAAGGTAAAAATGGTCCCCAAACAAAGTTTCCCTTTATAATTATATAATTTATAATATGTTATATTATGCCTATTTTAATTTTAACAAAAATAAAATGAATTTATAACCGTAGATAATATATCCATTATATTATAGTTTTTTTAATGTAATTTTGAAAATTTGAAAATCTAAATATATATATACTATTTTTGAAATCTTAGCATTTTTTTTAGTGCAAGTGGAGATTGAACTCACAAATATATGTTAATTACGGTTGAACTCGCTGTATCGGATTTTGACATTTAAATTATAAAAATAATTTTAAAAAATAAATCCCACAAATAAATCTATTTTAATTGTAAATCTAACAACAAAGAGAATTGGATTGAGATTGCATACAAAATATAATCCAATTTAACCAATTCTGTTATATGGACGACATGTCGTCTTCTCTCTCACTATGTCGACACTCGACAAAGAGAGATTTTCTAATTTTTATTTAGAACAGAAAAAAAAAAAAAACGATCGCTCGTTTCTCGCTCTTTCTGATCTGACAATTTTGACGGAAAATTAGAAAAAAAAAAGTAAAAAAGAGAGAGAGAAAACAAAAAGACTATATAAATCTGGAGTTGCATTAATTTTTCTTCTCCTCTTTCCTTCATTTTGGTGTGGGTGGGAAATTCACCTTCGAGAACCCAAAAAAATTCGTTTTTTGATTTTCAGTAGCTGTTCATCTCCTCTTTCACTCTCTCTCTCGCAGCTCAAAACCCCCCATCACTAATTATCTTCTTTTGATTTTGCCTCTGGAAATTTCCCTGCAAAATCTGTTCTAGGGTTTTCGTTTTGCTGTCAATTTGCGCGGTTTTTGTATTTGGGATCGCAAGCTTGTTGAAGCTGCTTCAAAGCTCCAGCGAATTCAAGCTGCAATTCGGAAACCGAAATTTTCAGTCAGGGAAAGAGCTATGGATGCTGATTCGTGGACTGCTCGCCTTTCTTCTGCTTCTAAGCGATACCAATCTGCTCTTCTATCACGATCTGGTTTAGGTGACACTCTTTGATTTCTGATTTTTTGTTTGTTTCGTCTCCTAGTGAGTTTGAGTGATTTGGAAGTCACCCGGGTTACAATTTGGTTTTCTGATGATGGGCTTCTAGAATTATTTTTTCATATTGACTGTTATGTTTTTTGTTACCTCAATTTTCTTAATTTTCTTTTTCCGTCTGAAAATATTGCCATCTGCAGATAAAAGAAAGAACAGAACAGATGACTCTGATAAAAACAGCTACGACTATTTTAATTTCGATTGGTGGTGGAATGAAATCAAACACTTGAATTTTGATTTTTTCCAAGGGGCAGGAGATAACATTTCGAATTTTCGTGCCATCTCCTCTTTCCCTGTCATCTGAGTCTTAATTTTTAACTATATATTTGCGGTAGGATGCCTGGGTGTGCTTGTTTGCACGAGAATTTGAGTATATATTTAAGATGCATAAGTCCAGAAAATACTTCGTATTGTCTGCATTGTGTATCCCGAAAAATATGGTCACTGAATGTGCTAGAAAAGAAGTACTTTATGAATTAATCAAGCCCCATAATCTAGATTTTTTGGCTGGCTTTCGAAAATGGCGATTACTAAGATTTCATTATATGAAACTTAGGATTTTGTTATTAAGGCGCCGTGCATCTAACTTACTGCTGTTAATCATGGTGTCACCTGCTGCTTCAATTTGCTTTAATGTGTCCCAACCCTCTACTTTCTTTGTGCTCATATCCTTCATAGCCAAACCACATGCTCGTGGTAGTAACTCACCTTCAGTTTTGGACTCATACTGTAGTAGCACAACATGCAGGTATGTTCACGGGGTTTGAAGAACTTGAAGGGGATGATGATATAAGGGAGGAGTTCCCGTGCCCGTTCTGCTCAGAATATTTTGATATAGTTGGATTGTGCTGTCACATTGATGAAGAGCATCCTATCGAGGCAAGGAATGGGGTATGAATTCTTGCAAAACCATTTATTTAAATTCTATATTTCCTATTGAAAAGTAGTCAATTTTGATCGAGGTTTGATATATGATCATTATTTGGTTTAAATACATACGTAACGGAACCATGCACTTCTTCTCCCTTTCTTTTAACCAAGAACTGCACCTATTTTTCATTTAGTCTTATTCCTGCAGTCATGGAGACAGCTTGTATATCTTCAAATTGTTTAAGGGCCTCCAAGAAGAATCCGTGAAATTTTTTTTACGTAACAGTTAGTAATAATAAAGCCTTAATTTTCCCAACCACCATCAAGATATAAGGATTTGAGATGTAAACAAATCGAGAAACTGTACTTGTAAATCAGTATTCATTGACATCATTACTGGAGGACATCATTATTTGAGGAGGTTCAAGTTTTTTTCCCCTTATGTGGACGGCAGCTTTGGGGTATGTCCTCATGTGTCATAGAATTCATAAGAAAAACCCCTTTGTTTCCCATTCTCCCAACTAGTATTTCAAATGCAAATAATGTACAGGAGATATAGGTCACCTACTCTTGTACTGTCCACTTGTTCCCTCTTGCTGGTGGCTCTTCAACATATTTGGAATAAGAGGGTGCTTTGTTCAAGTTTACCTCGTACGATCCTCCATGGTCATCTCTAAGGAGGAAATCAAGAGTAATACAGGGGAACATATCCTAGGTTATTCTTCGAAAAGTTGGTTAGGAAATTTTCTAAAGAATCGAGTGAATGAGGAAAGTGTATTTTGTAGCTTTCACTTAGAGTTATATATCAAAGCATTTTCGGACTACTGTACCTAGATCTCTGTATAATGCATCTTTGGGAGTATTTTTGTAATCTCCAAGGCTATTGATTTGGGAGGATGTCTTGCCTCTCCTTCTTCTGACACTTCTAATATTGAAAGTTACGTTTCCTAACAAAATAAATGTAGCCTCAAATTCCATGTACCTCAGGTTGAATCAATTGCAAGCTATACTCACTCATCCCAAGTAGCAGTTTTTTCTTTTGGAGAACTAAGGGTGTCTCATCATACAGTGCCAACCGATTTCTTTGCTATATTTTTCACCTTTTTTAAAAAAATTGAATTCTTACCCTAATTTAAAAGAAAGTTTTTTTTTAAACTACTATTATTAGTTTTCAAAACTTGGCTTAGAGTTTGAAAATTCTTTAACGCAGATAACAAAACAAAGAAAACACATATGTCGAATCGGTGTTTATAAGCTTAGTTTTCAATAACAAAAAAGTAAAAATTAAATGGTTATCAAACGGGGCCGTACATATATTTTTTCGAACTTTGGACACTAGTAATCACAAGATCAATTAATGGAGATATACTTCCGATATCAGTGTTGTCACTCATTTTGTTCAATTTATCTTCATTATAGCCCATAGCGAATTCCTTACTGTGGATGGTGCAGTGCATAATGCTATTCATAGTCTTAGAAGTAGTTATTTATTTATTTATTTTTAGTCTGAAAATAGTGTCAATATTATTTTAGATTGAAATATCATTAATCTGCAGGTGTGTCCAGTCTGTGAAATGAGGGTGGGAGTTGACATGGTTGCGCATATATCCCTGCAGCATGGAAACATTTTCAAGATATCCTTCCGATTATCATGTTAAAATTAGTTTCTATCTTTTTATTTTTTATTTTTATTTTTTACATTTTATGAGTTTTGCCTCCTTGAAATTAGTTCGCATTCATGCTCTTCATGTAGTTTGTTCTATAAAAATTAGCTCGGTGTTTTCCTAGCTTTATATGTTCAATGATTTTAATTGCACCTCAATCACATCTCACTGCTACTTGAACCTTTTATCAGAATAGAACCTCTATAAAACCTTGAAATATGAATTGCCGCAGGAGATTGTTCAAAAAAAATTTTCTCAGACGGAAATAGTTAATGAGTTGTCTGATTCTCATATCGACTACTGATATTTTCGTTTGTTTTTCTCATTGGATCACATTATTTGGTTCTTTCTCTGTTACTATTTTCTGTTTGAGCCCCATATGAAATTCAAACAGGATAGAAGATTAACCCCATGTTTGGTTCCTTAACTAATGGTTACATGCAGCGGAAGAGAAAATCTCGTAAAGGTGGTTCACACTCAACGCTCTCTTTGTTGAGGAAAGAGCTTCAAGAAGGAAATTTGCAATCTCTTTTTGGGGGTTCTTCATGTTTAATTACCTCTTCCAACGCAGCGCCTGATCCACTTCTGTCATCGTTTATTCTACCGTTGTCTGATGACTATGGCAGTGTTCAACCTCACTTGTCGGCTGAGTCAAGCTCCGCAAAGAGTAATTCACAAGAGAAATTATCAGAACGGTAAGTTAATGATATATTCCTACTGTTACAGTGCATTTACTTAGTTCACATGGTCATGGCCAGGACAGTAGTTTTTTTTTTTGTTGGGAAGAAATTACAAATTTAGTTGCAGGGTTATGTTTAATAGATGTCCAAACTATAAAAAGTGTCTAATTGGTCTCTAAACTTTCAATTTTGTGTTTAATAGATTCTTGAATTCAAAAAGTGTCTAATAGATCCAAGAACTTTCAATTGTGTATCTAATAAGTGCTTGATATATAAGATATTTCTTATAATTTATGGATTTATTAGACACAATTGAAAGTTTAGAAATCTATTAGATATAAAATTGAAAGTTTGGAGATGTGTTAGTTACAACCCTACCTTAAAAGTTAAGAGACTCAACTTATAATTTAGCCTTCTAGTATTTACCAACGAGAGGTTAATCAAGCATAGGCTGACTAATTTTTCGTTAAATCTTGACATCTTGAATAAATGTTCTCTCTTTAGCCATCTTGCCATTTCAAGTCCAGTTGATATTACTGTTGTCAAGAGTTCTACCTAGGAACAGAATTTCAGGATCTGGCTATATTGAAATGAAAACATGCTGCGAGCTAGTCCAAAAGGGTCAGGTTTAGGAGATAATAAATCATAACATTTAGTACATGTACCAAAATATCCGAAAGCAAGAGAAGCACAAGGAACGGTTGGTTTATCTTACGGTTGGATTTGCATTTGGGCGAAATTCTTGTCGTGGTGGCTTTAATGTCGTTGGCTTGTGTCCATATGTTATGTTGTTTCCTCTCTCAACTTGCTGCTTCATTTAAGTTGGACCATCCTTAGATAACTTTCCTCTAATGATCCATCACATCCATTTGAATTCCGGGATCTAAAATCTTGGTGTTTCATGTGACAGAATCGTCCCGCCATCACCCCTGTCCATGCAGGATAAGGAAGAGAAAGCAAAACGATGCGCGTTCGTACAGGGGCTGTTAATGTCCACCATCCTTGATGATAATTTATGAAGAGTGGTTGAAAAACATCAAAGTTGGCTGCTGCTATAGTGGATGTAAAATTCACAACAGGCCCCTTGGTTTACTTGTAGCTCTCAAAAATACTAGTATGCTTCAATGAGAGTGCCAAAATAAGGTGTAGTGTAATTTATGTTGTTTGTAAAACACCAATTCTTAGGCCTGACTAAGACTTCCATTTTCACTCTTTAAATTTATTATGGTCATGCTTAAGTAAAAGAAGGGTGAGAAAAGAAATACCACTTCTGCAAGCTTAAAATTTTGCAATAAGTGACTTTTTTAATAGCTTCATTTCAATAATATGAAATGGCATGTAACTGGAACAATAAAACTATGACTTAAATGTCAGTTTGAATCAATTCTATGGACAAGTTAACAACAATTTTGGCCCCTGAACTAAAGGGATGCAAAAAGCAGGCGCCTGATTTTTGCAAACAATCCCTCCTATAGAGTGAGACTCAACCACGATGGCAGCGACATGTCGTCGGTAATCTTCTTCACTATGTCCCGAACATACGAGTCAAAACAAGCTGAGCAAAGGCCTCTAATCAGGCTTCTATGCCCTTCTCCCATTGACAATTCGATGTGGGAACATTGGGACGGTGGTGATGCTCTATAAGCTTCGTTTATCAAGTGTTCAAATCCGCATGCAGCTAAAATTGTGTTGGAAGCTTTCATGGCAATATCGGCTGCTGTACTTTGACCTGAACCAGAATGAGATCAACTGAGTTGTAACAAGACTAACTGAAAAAAATTAATCATATCCATTTCTACACTAAATTGTAAACCATTAAGTGAAAAATTAGAAAGGGAATGACTGTTATGAACATACCTAGATCAACATCTCTGGATAAATCCTTCAAATGGCTTTGGATAATTGGTTGTAATTGCTCTCTTGCTGCACTATAATCTTTCTCATCTCGGAGCAAAGGAGGGAGCGAACCGTTATCAGAACTTGTGTTTAATACACTGCTAAAATTATGGATCTGCTCACAGTTCGATAACAAATTCACCCCTGTGAGCACAGGCCACCATGCTCCATTCATATATTGATCGTCAGTTGTGGTCGTATTTTCAACTGCAAGCCTTGTCAATGGGTTCAAAGTTGTTCCACCATTGTCGACTCTCTCTGTTGGTATGCTAAGATGAGGATCTTCAATTGCTTGACCAGGCAAATGACTCGTTTCGGAGTCGAGGAAATCTCCATGTTGCATTAATGGGGAGGGATTGGCATGTAAGCTCTCCCCGAACAAAGTTTGGCTTGGTATTGTCGTTTCCTGAGCTCGTGTATGTTCTGCTGTTACTTCCCTACCCTGATCTGTCTGTGAATTTACAGTACCTCCACCACAAGGACTAGCAGCAGAAACACCATCAGTTCTATCGTTAACTAAACCCATTTGATTTGAAGAGCGCATGTGATTGATGCGCAGCCGAATAAAACGTCTCCCTAAAAGAGTTGGCGCAACGGCTTGAGACATGGGAGAAGTTGATTGGACTTCTGCAGGTAATCGAGGAGACATGGCGTTTCCAAATCCTTGAATATATGGAGTACGAGGCGAAGATAGAAAATTCAAGTCTAAACCATCCCGGTGAGCAACAGGAAATGATCTGTTAAACAAATTGTTGGTTGTTCTTCGATCCGACAGTCGACTTGGGGGCTGTGGACTCGATGATCCAAGAGCAATGGTTCTACAATCATCACAGTACCAATTCCCTTCTGGTACTTCTCTGCCAAGACCGACGCAATAGGTGTGCGCCGGTGAGTCGCATAGATCACAGAGTAACATTAGATTATCGTCCCCACCTTCATGGCACTCGATACAGATCACGTTCTCATAGGGATCGAGATAACTTCTCAATTCTTCCTCAGATGGCTGATAGACCTGAAGGACACAGAAGATACTAAATTTATAGAAGCAACAGATGGGAAATTAGGAACAAGATGCAAACTACGAGCATACCTGATCGCGCTCAGGAACCTGTATGACAACTTCTCTTAAGTCGATTCCAGCAGTAGATCTTGCAGGCTTACTAATTGACTGAAACCTCTGCTTGCACAAAGGGCAACGCGATTCCACCTTTGCCCACTCCATAATACAAGAGAAACAAAAGAAGTGAGAACAACAATTAAGCGTTCCCCGGACTCTCCTCTTATCTTCTTCCGATAGGCATATACCGCAAACTTGCTTTATCACCTCAGCCTTGACTTCCTCCAATTTCTCTTTGCCCTTCCTAACAGGAGGTTTTCGATGTTGGCGTGGATCGGAGTCCTCAATCTTCGGGGGCGAAGGTATACTCCTTGCTCTGTTTCTCAAATGACCACACAACCTCTCGGCTTCCCTCACCTGCTCTCTCTCTTCTTCAGAGATGGTATATTCATAGTCTGATGAACCAGAAAGGAAGGTATCTAAATCTGTTTGTACAACATTCCTTTTCCGCTTCGAAACTGGCTTCTTCCTTCTCGTATTCTTCACTGTAGTACAGTAATTGTCCGAAAAATCACCATCATCTGAGTTCCGTATGGTTCGTGGGCCACTCTTCCTTCTCCGTTTATTCCTCGAAGGCTTCTTTGCAGCCTTCGGTTTCCTCTTTTTGCCAACTTTGCCAATGGTATTTTTCCGCACCCCATTTCGACCCCGTTTCATATTGGTTACTCTCTTCCTAACAAGTGGTTCTTCCTCATCCGAAAAATCCTCTTCTTCCACCATAAAGTCCTCATCCTCAACCTCCTCATCAACATCGACATCGACATATTCCTCTTCTTCTTCTTCCTCTTCCTCTTCTTCCTCTTCCTCTTCCTCCTCATAATCATTATCATCATCTACACTATAGTCCTCATCATCCTCGTCCCCATCCCCGTCATCTTCTTCTTTGTAACTAAATCGTTGCCTCTTTCGTCCATTTTTCTTCCTTGCTTTATGGGAACCGAAAGCATTCCTAGCTTTCGATCCGTCCTTTTTCCTGACCTTTCCAGGCTGCTGCTCCTCCACAGCAAAATTATCCTCTCCAGATGCATTTTCATCTAAATAGGAGCAATAATCCTCATCGGAACACTCAGAAACCCCATTTTCATCATTGGAAACAACATAATCCTCATCAGAATCATCAGAACCTTTATCTTTAGGTCGAAATTTTTTCTTGAAATTTTTCTTACTACCAACCTTCCCTCCCCTTACCATCTGTTCCTCGCACATAAAAACAAAATTTGCCAACAAAAAAAAAACCAGAATTATTCGAATTTCAGTCCACACAAAACACAATCACAATCAGAATTCCTCAACCAAACCAACCCCTCATCACAAAATCTAATCGAATCGAACATAGAAACCAAAATTGAGAAATTCCCTGATGTTTCCCTCATAAAATAGCTAAACACCCGATTTTACATATGAAAAATTAGAAAAAACCACTAACTACAGACGATTCCCCATGGTCGATCTGCTTCATTCCTGAACAAAACAACATTGAAAAAATCAAAACAAAAAGAAACAAGATTCATTCTCACTGTGAACTACAACAACAAACAGCTCGAAACACCAATTACCCATTTATCTCAAAAATCGACCAAAGGGTGGCATTCCATTGGGAAAAATTTTCCACAAAAAATTAAACAGAAACAGAAAAATTGACTGCTAATTCAAAGATTAAAGCCACCCAGAAACATCCTACACATACGCACAATCAAAGGGAGATTTATATTCAAACCTAGAGAGAGAAAATCGAGAGAGAGAGAGAGAAGGGTACCTGAGAGGAGGAATAAAGCACCAGGAAACACCACGGACAATTGGAAAACGTCTTCCGATTTCCCAAAAATAATTTTCTTTCGTTTTTTTTCCCTTATGAAAAAGGAAAATAAAATATAAAACTTTTTTTTTGGGATTAAATTATACAGTGAGAGTAGGCGTTGGGGGCTCTTCTTATTATGCGATGCGATGGTCACCTCCTTGGATGTTTCTTTTTGCGAAATTACTAAACACCCTCCACTCTCTTTCAATTTCTCTCTTTTTCTTTCTTTTGACCATTGCCATTTTTGGGATCAAATATCAAAATTCCCCCAAAAGAAAATAAAATTTATCGAAAAACTTCACAAAGTTGCTCTTTTTTATTTTTTTTCCTCATTTGAAACTGAATTTTGTACTTACCATAATGTGGTCAAATAATATTACCAAAAAGTCGGTTTTTCCCCCTTGTTTTACTATAAAAAAATCGGGTCGTCTTTGGTATGTAAATTTGTCGTGTTCGTATATGGGAGCATCGAATTTAATTTTATGAGACGCAAGGTAAATGAGATACTGAAATTGTTGTAACCGTCTATTCTTTCTCGAATTTTGTGTATTTTAAATTTCGTTTGAGAGCGTTTCATTTTGATGCGTTTAATCACAACTTTTTCATAATGATTTGACATAAGGCTCGGAAATTAATATGGTCAACTGGTTAATGCACTTATCTCCGACTAAAAGGTCATAAGTTTGAATTTCAACACCACATGTGAGGGAGAGTCGAACTTACGACTTATTAGTTGGAGATATAAATATTATTCCAATTGCCAATAGATAAAACATCTATTATCATTTTTGAACTCGAAGGTTTTACTCTTCACTTCTGCTATGGTTAGAGTTAGAAATGAAAAAATTATTCAAGACAAGCACAATTAGGTTATAAAATCTTTACTTGAAAAAATAAATAATAAAATTTCTCGTCATTTGCTACAAAAAATGGAAAATACAAATTGTTATTTTAGGTAATAATTACTAATTCTTTTGAAGTTTTATCAGATTAGTAACCCCAAGTAATGTACTCATGACCTTACCCAAAATAGTTGTTTTTCCTTTCAAAAGGATTTCATTTTATTTTTCCAGTTATGGAAACGTGGATTTCTATTTCGCGTCAATATAATAGAATTATTATAAAAAATATATACTTTTAAAAAATTAGCTTTCCAAATGTAGATTCAGTTTTAATATTTGAATTTTGTAAGAAGAACCAAAATAATTATTTTATTAAAGTGCAGATACTAAAATAAATATTTAAAAAATTTAAAAACTAAAATAGAATAAATTTGAAAGTTAAAAAAGACATTGAAGTATATATTTTGAAAGTTAAAGTTTATTTAAAAGTTTTAATATCACAATTTAGTTAAATTATAAATTTGGTACTTATAATTTATTCTTAATTTCAGTTTCATCTCCATGATTTTTAAAGTTTCAATTTAACTCTTTTAATTTAACCAATATACTTCTAAAAGTTTCAATTTCCTCACTATAAGATTAGTAAAACCTCACAAATTGTTTTTAAATGAGTTCTTATCCACTCGAAAGACCACTCTTTTTCTCTCTCTCTCTTACTTCAAACCTAAACTATATAACAATTACCTAGCATGGTTAATAACAAACACACATGTTTATTCTAATGTAATATAACGTAAATAACAATTATATCATAAAAGTAGAGACAATTCATGAAATTTAACGGACAATAAGGACCCAATTGAAACTTTCAAAGTCACAGGGATTAAATTGAAAACCCACCAAATTATAGGGACTATTTATAATTTAACAAAAATATGACACACACACATATATTTATAGGTGGTTGTATGAATAGCATCACTTTGAATATTATTTATTCTTATTATTGTGTTAATTTTACAATTATGCCTAGGTAGAGTAGTTTAGCTGTACCTTTGGCTCTAGCTTTACTAAAATACACGCGTATCCATCTCCAAAACAATGTGATCTTCCAACGACAAAATCAGGGCCGTCCGCAAGAGCGAATCAAACAGAAGTCAGTCTGAGGTACACGTGGACGGTGGAGAGGGAGAGTGCAACTGTAGGAGCGGATGTAGGGAATCGATTCCCGCATCAGCTTTGTCTTATTAGAACAGCAAGGGATTTAGGGAAACACGTGGTGGCCCCCGAAAACCATGGGCCGGGTTTAATGAACCCGGATATGGACACGGAGGGAAATATACAAAAAGATGGAGATAGTCTTGTCCATGGTGGAGGTGCAAATTGAAATCGAAAAAATCGATGAAACCAATCAAAAAATTTGAGTGATACATGTTGATGCAGGATTCTGATCGAGGTGACATGCTAGCTTGTGAGATAAGGTGGACTTCAAGTTTTTTGAAATTGCCTCTTACAAACAAAATTTTTGCACCAGTCTGATGCTAAACCATGCGTGTACACTTTAAAACTTAAGTTAATAAGTTGGTGTTGAGTCGAGCTTACTAAAATGCATAAAAATTAAATATCTTTTAAGGACTATGCCTTTTCTAATAGGAGCATTGAGAAATGTAACTCTACGATTGTGGCTCTCTGTCAATTGTCCATAGATTATTTGCCAACATAATAGACATTTTATTAGGAGAATCTTCCTTTCAAACGAATGGAGCTAGGCTTGATTTTATGATTTTTTTTTTTGACAAATTTACCTCTAATACAAATAGTTAAATAAATACTTGATTTTATGAATTTTTTTCTACCAAAATTTACAAATACAAAATAAGCAATTTATTAGGAAACAAAGTTAAACCAATAAATCCCCGTTTTCATCTACAAATTAAAAAAATAAGCAACTTAATTGATTTGAATTTGATACTTTATCATTTCAAATCTAGAAAAACCACTAAACCTCTATTCCGACTAAAAATTTTCATAATCTAAAAAACTAATTTTCTAAAACCACTACAAATTGAATTAAAGATATCGAAATTTAAAAGGCTACAAACTAACCTACTTATTTCAAATTTTATCATAAAAAAAAAACAATTTTCTTTATCAATTTCTTCAAGTGAGTACCCCAACTCTATCCTGCTGGAGAGATTACATTGGATATAGCTTTTTCTATGACTATAGAAATTGTATGTACCTAAAAAAATAGAAAGCATTCATAAAATTTAAAAAATATATCTTCTTTGTAAATAGTAGAGATTAGTTGTAATTACATTTACAAGCACCCTAATATAACTTTTCTCGTG